AAAGTTTCGGCGATTTTTATGCTGCACCAAGGCCAACAACTGTGCCAAGTTCCCATAGAAATTGGTGCAGCGGTTACCAAGATATAACCATGTAACCATAAGTGGGCATGTCTACGCCCATTTTCCAAAAATTTATAATATTTTTATTTTTCGTCTGAAAATTATTGTAAATATCAATTTTAAATGAATTATCTTCAGTAGTTACTAAAATATCGCAGTTTTCGTATTTCTTGAAATTACCATTATATGTGAAGTGGGCGTGGTTACAGTCCGATTTCGCTCACGGCCGGACAGACAGACATGGCTTAATCGACTTCTCTATTCATTCTGAGCATTTATGTATACATTTGTCTATATCTATCTCGATACGTTTTGGCTGTTACAAACAACCGTTATGTGAACAAAATTAATATACCCTTGTGCACAAGTGCGCTCGGGTATAACAAGTGCGCTCGGGTGTAAAAAAATATTGTAAATATTGTAGGCATTATAACGATATGCCTTCTAGAACGCGTTACCACTAAATGCGATTACCGATTTTTTGCTGGGCTGGAGCAAGGCTAACAACTATGCCAAGTTTGGAAGAAATTGGTGCAGCGGTTATCGAGTTATACACATGTTACCATAAGTGGGCGTGGCTACGCCTATTTTCCAAAAATTTATAATATTTTTATTTTTTAATCTAAAAATTATTATAAACTAGCCTGAACCCGCGGCAGTGCTCGCGTGGTGGCGGAATATGGTAGCCCAGTTTAATAGCTTGTTTGTTATGGAATGAAATGCAATAATAACTTTGGTAGATATGACTGCATATGAAATCTCAAGTTCATATGACTTATGCTTCCGAAGTTACGGCTGATAAAAAATTCCACGCCTATGGGATGTGCCACGCCCCCTTTTTTAAACTCATTTATACATACCTAACTATAAGCACCTACCACAGACATGCCTTCGTACCAAATTTCAAGTTCTTTTGGCTTATGGGAGGTGCCACTATATATGTAGTTGCAAATGAAACCGTACGTATAACCTTCCCGGGGTAAAAACAAATAAGTGAGCAAAGTTTAGTGCGATTCCGTGTCGCGGTTCAAAAGCTATAAGAAAATAAACAAACAGACATTCACATTTATATATATAGATGTCAATTTTGAGTGAATAATATTCAGTAGTTACTAAAATATCGCAGTTTTTGTATTTCTGAAAATTACCATTATATGGGAGGTAGGCGTGGTTAATGTTCGATTTGCCCATTTCCAATACCATCCGTCCTACACCCGAAAGTAGTGCACGTCCAAAGTTTCGTTAAGATATATCAATTTTTACTCGAGTTATCGTGTGCACAGACGGACGGACGGACAGACAGTCACCGCTTAATCGATTTCTCTTTTCATTCTGATCATTTATGTATACATTTGTATATATCTATCTCGATTCGTTTTGCCTGTTACAAACAACGGTTATGTGAACAAATTTATAATACCCTTGTGTACAAGTGCGCTCGGGTATAAAAAGATGCCGAATTTCGACAACTGGGCGACACTAGTTTTTATAAAAGGTTCAATCACAAAACCAGTATACATATCTTTTTCAGAAAAGATTTGCATCAAGGATGTAGGAATTTTATTACAACACACGTAGGTAAATATGCATACAACTTCGATTTCTCCGTAAAAAAACTTGTAAAACGGAAAAATGCCGTCATGGACACCCACATAGGGACATTTTATGTATTGAAAATTGAAATGCATGCATGCACAGGTTAGTAGTATTTGTACTTTGTATTGCGCAATATACTGATATACATATGTACATATATATGCATCCATATATGTACTATGTAAGACTTGAACATTTAACTACTCTAAATTATGCATGGATATGTTCAAATATTTTTATTATACATACAAACAAATGAAAATACGTGTTTCAGCCGGTTTTAAAACATTCAAAAGTTGGTGGGCGACACATCTCAGACACAATTACGTGGCATATGCACATTACATTTAATTTTACTGGCGTTTATGACTAATGGATTTCCATGTCTGGAATTGAGAATAAGCTGAAGTACGTAAGTTTTTTGTTTTTACTTGGAAAGATATTTCTAAATTTAAACTAGAAGTTACGGTCAATTTCTCTTTAGAAAATTTCGAAATCTTGAATTTTGAATCACTTTTAAAGCTAACTTTAGGCTTCAGATCAACCCCATAATAACACTGTGCTACAAAAAAACTGAGTAGGTACGCCCGATATATAAAACAGTACACTAAGCCTCGTATTGAGAATTTTTTGAAATCGGACATTAATTTCTAAAAACTCAAAATTATCGAGATTTTAGAAAGCGTGGGTTTAGTCCATTTTTTTCTTTTTAATTTTCAAAACGTTGCTTAAGGGGCCCAGACAATGTGTGCATACCACATTTGGTATAGATTGGTGAAGTGGTTTTTGAGATATACTGGATGCATGCATATGTATGTATGTGCATTAGATTGCATAACCAAAAAAGGAATTACTAAATTTTATTATATTTAGTGCCGTTTTAACCATCTCTGGTTAACACTAATCCCCAGTCAAACATCGTTACCGACGTTACTGAATCCATTCATATAACGTTGTGTTGGAAACGATGTTTAACTGGGGATTAGTGTTAACCAGAGATGGTGAAAACGGCCCTTAGGGCCGGTTACTCAATGTCTGGTTAACACTAATCGGCGGTTAAACATCCTTATCGACGTCTTCGACTCCATTCATACAGCAGGGAGTCGGTAACGTCGATAACGATGTTTAACCTGTAACCTGAATAATCTTCAGTAGTTACTAAAATATCGTAGTTCTCGTATTTCTGAAAATTACCGTTAGGAGGTAGGCGTGGTTATTGTCCGATTTTGCCCATTTTCAATACCATCGCCGCTTAATCGATTTTTCTCTTCATTCTGATCATTTATGTATACATTTGTCTACATCTATCTCGATTCGTTTTGCCTGTTACAAACAACCGTTATGTGAACAAAGTTATAATACCCTTGTGCACAGGTGCGCTCGGGTATAATAATTTAATTACAGGGAATCCTTAATAAATATAAATAATAATTAATAAATATAAATATAAATATATAATAATAAAAGGTTAAAGAATAACACTTAGGAAAAAAAACAAATACAAGAATGGAAGTAAAGATGAGTACGTACCTAGATAAAGAAAAGAATAAAGGCAAAGGTAAAAATAAAAACAAGAGCAAGGATTCGTAAAGATAAAAGTAAAAATGAAGGCCAAGGTAAATTTAAACAATTTACTTATATGTATAATGGCAAAGGTGAAGGTGAATATATATATGAAGAAAATGATAAACATAAAAGTAAAAACAAAGATAAATATAAAGAAAAAGATGAGGATAGAGGAAGAAAGATTAAAATACAGGTAATAATAAAGAAAAAGATATAGATAGAGACACAGACTCAATCTGTGAACAATTTTACGATATTGGAGATTTTCGTTATTTTCGGGACTTATCGATATAATAATCGATATTTTTATCGGTATTGTTATCGATAGTTTTATCGATGTTGTCATCGAAATTTTTATCGATATTGTTATTGATTTTGCTTTCGATATATTCGGAAATTATGGTTATAATAATCGATATTTTTACCGATTTTGTTATCGATATTGTTATTGATTATCTATCGATTTTGTTATCGATTATTTATAAATTTTGTTATCGATATTTTTATCGATTTTCTAATCGATTATTTAATGATTTTGTTATCGATATTTTTATCATTTTCTAAACGATTTTGCGACCAATATTGTTATCGATTTTGCTATCGAATTATTTATCGAATTTGTCATCGATTTTGTAATCGTTTTTTTATCGATCATTTATCGATTTTGTTATCGATTTTGTTATCTATTATTTATCGATTTTATTATCGATTATTTATCGGTTTTGTTATCGGTTTTGTTATAGATTATTTATAGATTTTTTTATCGATTTTATTATCGATTTAGTTATAAATATTTTTATCGAGTTCGTAATCGATATTTTTATCGATTTTCTAATCGATTTGATGTTAGATTATTTAGCGAATTTGTTACCGATATTTTTATCAATTTCGTTATCGATGTTTTTATCGACATTTTTATCGATTTTCTAATCGATTTTGCTACCATTATTATTATCGACTTTGCTATCGAATTTGTAATTGACTCTGTTATCGATATATTTATAGGTTTTGTTATCGTTTTTGTTATCGATAGAGTATACAAATAAAAATGAGGATAAAGGAAATCAGAATAACATAAATGTAATTAGAACGAATAGGGGTAGCTGCAGGGATGTAGATAGAAAAAAAGACCAAAAATATAACCTTAAGCAAAAGCAGATGTATGTATGCATGCACATACATATGTATGTATGTAGGTATATTGGTTATGAGGCAAAATGGATATGTAACGTAAGTTTCACTTCTCCAGTGTGGCCCAGGCGCACTTACTTTTTTTATTGTATTTAGCTTCTACTCATGAAAATATTGAGGTTGGCTTAAGATTAAACTTTTGGTGTAGGTGCAGCAAACTGTTTTTTTTTGTTTGAGTTAAAGCTTTCCGTATTTATTGTTCACCACTCATTAATTGCCAAACCCAAGAACGGTGGGAAAAAGTGGCAGCGGGATTACAAAACGCGTTTTTAGATATTCGACAATGACTGATGAGCGTAAGTAAAGCTCTAACAGTACAGACAAAGCAAACTTTTGTATTTTTATTAAGTTATGTATGTATGTATATGCACATATGTATGTATGTATGTAGCAAAGTTGTGCTGCTGCCTACACTTGTTTTCTATCTACATATGTATGAGGCGCGACGATCGTGATCGCGCTTTAGACTTAGTATGGACAATAGGGTGCACACGTAGGGGAAAGAGGGGAGTAGGTTTGGGGCCCACTTTGCTTTCTGAATGCGACGCTTTGTGCTGGGGTCGAAAGCTGTTCCAGCTATAAAATGAACGATCAGTTGGCTTTGAGCATTGCTACGCGTTGGACGCGATCTTCGGAAAATTGTGATTCCTAAACGAAAAACGAAACGACTGATACACCACTACATACAACAAGATATTAACAAGTAAACGACTAAATAAAAAATAGCCACATAAAAAGAGAGAAAAAAGTGCAAAAAAATACCGAAAACACTGAATATTTTCATCGAGACAGTTTCAGATTCTGTGCTTGCGTGTTTTAGTTGAGATTTTGCGTGGAATAAAAACTGTGTGCTAGTGATTTCGAGTTAGCTATTTAACATATTTTTCGCATTTTGTATTAAAACAATTGACGTGTGTGCTGCTTAATTTTGTGCGAAACGTAAATACACATCATCTGTGATTTATAGAAGTAATAACATTTTTTACATTTACTAATTTGTGCCCAGTTAAGTATTTGGACCTGCGGGTTTTAAAAATTTATTAAAATGGTCTCGAAAGGTAGCAAAAAGAAACAGCAGCAAGTAAGTGGCAGTAAAAATGCTGCAAGCAGCAGCAAAATCACATCTAGATCCTCGACAACTATGCAACGTACTGCAGGCGTTGGCACAGACTCAGCATCAAACAGCAAGTCTGTGTTAGAAGTCACTCCGTCATCGTCGAACTCGACTCAATCGCCTACGTGGACCAAAACTTCACAGCAGGTACAAAAATCCGAATCGACAGCGAGCAGCGAATCAATGCATGCAACCACACACGCAGGCACGCAGTCGCAAACGCAATTATTCAAGAGCAGCAGTAGCAGCACGAGTCACATTGAGTCGAGGTCAGAGCAAATTGGGCAAAAGGAACAAGAAATATTTCAGATTGGCAGCGCCGATATAACACCACTGGTTTCCGCAATGACCGACACATTAAAATCGACGAAAGCATCATCATCATCATCCTCATTTCAGCAGAAATCAGAATTTTATGAAGAGATCTCGGGCGATTACTCGAATTCAAAAATTATATCCTCCATCGATCTGCTTGAAAGTGATAGAAAAGAGCCTGTTTTCTCGGTGCCGATCGATGTCGTTGAGATTGTAGGGGGCAGTAGTTCCAGCGTGGGCAGTTTAAACAAAGCGTACTCCTCCTCTTCCCAGTCACAAACCGGCGTGATGTCCAGCATCAGCAGTTCCAACGTAGCACAAATGCATTCCGCCAACAGTAGCAGTAAGGTCATTGACGGTGGAATTATGATCAGCGACATGTCTACGGAAAACTCGAAGTCGTCCTTGTCTATGTCGAGAACAGAAAAGTCGGGCAAAGTCACATCCAGTAATGTTGAAATGACATCATCGTCAAACAAGTTTTCAGCGAATGATGTGAGCAGCAGTAGCACCGCAATCAACAGCCACACGTCGTACTCGACGATTGATGGTCGTGCCATTAATGGTGACACAACACCAGCAATAGCGCCGCCAATTACATCGCCTACAACAGGCAAGAAGACTTCAATGGCATACACAAAAGATACACAGAGGGCAGTCGATGACGTCTCCAATTCCACCAGCGCTGCCGCAAGTCAGAGCTACTCAAGCGAAGCTAATACGTCACTGAGTAACACAGCGAAAACTATGAAGAGTGACGTCGTAAGTAGCCAGCAATTGGCTTCCAAAAAGTCAACAAAAACGTCCTCCGTTACAGAGCAAAATATATCTGAGGAAACAATCGAACTAAGCTCGCTGAAGAAAAGTAAATCAACTACAAAGAAAGAGGTGTACGATGTAAAAACCAAGAGATGGACAGAGCTCAACGAAAAGACCGGCACTAGCGTTTCCAACAAAAAGCATCCAACCATTGAACGTTACGTTAGCCGCGAATCCGATGGCACATACAAAATTACTTACAAGAAAAAAATATTCGATCAGCGTGCAAACAAGTGGAAAATCATTGAAGAGAAGACGGTGGACAGTGCTCATGACACTCATTACCCCGAAATAGTTGATGATGTCATCAATACGACGACTACAACGTACACAACAAAAGTGTATGACACCAAGACCGGAGAGTGGAAAATCGTTGAAGAGAAATCTTTTGTGGACGCAAAAGCTTTTGTGCCAAACGACATTGTTCGTGAAATCGAAAAAGACAATACAGATGTGGCGAATATAACAACGACAACCGAAGTAACTAAGGTAATTACCGTACACAGTTTGCCTTTACCCAGACATATTAGGGTAGTCATAGATTGTTTGATTTCTAATATAAGCTAATCGCTAACCAAAATATTGTGATTAACTACAAAAGGAATATTCATGATAAAAACGTAACAAGGCAAAACCATTGAGAATCGGGCTGGCATTTTCCAGCAATATAATTTAAAAATTCAACACTCAAACTCTCGTTTTCAATCTCAAACAACAATAATTGTGAACAATTTAATTTTCTTTATTTTTAATTTTATATGATTTTAAAATGCTTGCAAACGTCGGAAAAAAATCAGGGCCCACGAATTGAGAGAATGAATTTACCTTTTAATGTTTTTATTATGGAATATTATGGCCTTGTCAGAACGGGTACTTTGCGTACGTTCCGTTCAAGGATGAAACTGACAATTGCGTAGACTATGTGTGTTTTCATAGGGAGCGTCAGATTGGCAGCTCTTGCGTCGACGGACTCAACGAACATTGGACACCACTTAACTTTTGACGCACGTATGTATGTCCGTCACTGCTGACAGTTGTATAAACTTGCGTTTCCACAAGACAATACAAATGGGAATATGCATTAATTGTCACATTGTTTGAGTAAAGTAGGGAGTTTATTGCCTAACTCTCTTTTAAAAGCCAGAGGCAGTGACGAAGCCACCATGAGAAGTATGAATATATTAGTAAAAAAAGTGTGAATGTTTTGCTATTGTATCTGCCAAATTTACTTATGTAAACACAAAGTACGCGTACAGCTGACTTTGGTTTGCAGACGCAACACCTTCATTGTGGCGTATCTCTACGTTACGTTCGCCACTTCTTCGCATACTCTTCCATTATTGAAGTAAAAGTACCCATTCTGACGCGACTTTTAATCAGTCGCGGGAAACCACACAGCTTTTTTTTAATGTCGTCGGTAGGTGGGTCTGGTTAAATACACCGACGACCTTTTTTTTGTGTGCAGGTTGGTCTCTGCAAAAGGTGTTCAGCCCACCTTCTTTCGGAACACAGAAAGGAGAATTCTACTTAGTGAGGGTTATAATCCCTAAGTGCGGCCGATGGCCGCCTACGCAGAAAGGTGTTCTCTGCAAATGAATTTTCACTTAGTAGTAGAAAATTATCACTCAAAATATCAGTTAGTAAAAAAAAATGCTCCCAAATTCTCCCTTAAGTCGAGAAACTTGCAAATTTCTGCACGAACGCAAATTTGCAGGAACTTGCAAGTTGCCAGCTAGTGTCCACGGTTGCATTTCAAACATAAGAAATTTGTACAGAATTTTTAAAATTCTTTCAGAGGGCAAAAAACAGGATCTACATGTATATTTCTTGCTAGTCCGACTTTCTTCAACATACGTTTCAATTTCTTTGCCGTACTAACTCTCGCGTTTCCTATATCGACTCTGGTTGAGATTGCATTGCGAGTACGTTTCAAATCATTGGAATTAACTAAATTAATTAAGTAAACAAGTCTTTACTTAAATTTTTCATTTTAAAATCGCTCAAGTTTGTAAATTTTTAAATTTGACGAACCTGTTTATTCATGTGCCACAATCGTATGTTTTTCCTTATTGCAAATTCTTGCTGGAAATTTTTTTTCCAGCTTGAATTTGGAACTTCTCTCCAAGAAATTTATGTGAAATTTAGTTGAAACAGTTTAGCCGTTCTTAGCCGGTTTTTTTTGCCAATTTAGCCGGTTGGTCCAAAAGTTCTGGCAACACTGATCACAAATTGGAGGAGAAGCTCCCGCCCAGAACGAATCTAAGTCGAGCGGGTGTCAGCTGTCGATAATCTTGAAATTATTAGCGAAGTGGTTCGAAATTTGCCGAATTTGAACTAGTTTTCTTGCTGATTATTTTCCTAATTTTCTCTGCAGGTGAACGAGAACTGTTTAATAACTTCACTCAGAGCGAATGAATGTTGACTTGATTTTTTTCTCACCGCTAGCAATTGAAAGCTCAACAATAGAGAACAGTACTCAATTTAATACATATTTAGACGTACATACATATGTGTATTAGTACGCATAGCAGTGTTGCCACAACAAAATTACCAATTTCCTCAAAAACGAACGAAAAATCCTCAAAATCCGAACAAATTACTCAAAATTTTCTGTTTACAGACATGAGTATTGTGTACTGCATACTATTTACAGGCACTTAGTATAAAAATTAATTAAATTCTCCAATTCAATTGGTACATTTGTTCTTGCGGTTGTTGCGTTGTTTTTTATGCCTTGATTTGTATATCGTCGTTTAAAGTACAAAACCGCGTATCGTCATTCTGCAAAGCCGCGTAACTGACATTGGCTGCCAAAAATTGGATTTGCTTACATAAGCTCTTGGCTCAATCCTTATCCATTCGTCCTGAAATATACTAGGCAAATATGCGATTGCTTTATAAAAAAGAGAACCATTTTAAAATATGAGTATTTTTACGCTCTAGAAAATAATTTCTACAACTTCACATACGCGGTTTTGCATTTTGCTGATACGCGGTTTCGCACTTTAAACGACGATATAATATTGTTGCAACTATATCGGTGCTCAATCTGTTCCTCAGGTCAGTCCTACACATTTTTAAACTACTAAATATACGTTCTACTGAAGCATTAGAAAAGGGATATATGTATTAGCAATGCAGATATAACTTTTTTTAATTGGGAAACTTATATGAACCTGAAGAATCTTTTAATTCAAAAACCTTTTTCCTATAATTTTCTGGATCTAATGAAGAATCAATATGAATATCCTTATTATCGAACAATGCGTGTTCTCTCCATTCGTTACCGAGATTTTACAAGTTCAAATACATAAGTTGAAAATACAACGATGGAATGAAAAAAATTATCGATACCATCTTGAATATTTAGCAGCAAATGCAGATGTGCTTAAGAGCGAAAAACACCACACAAGGGGCTTGGCACACCAAGCGAAATATCCCTTTCCTTAAAGCTATTTATGTTGTGTATGGGGGTGTTTGAAGATTTGACATGCCGTTTGAGAGAAATGTGAAGAAAAATAAAAATTTTTTGCCTCATTCGCAACGGAAGTGTTACTGAATGAGGGCGCAAGAGAGAAAAATCGAAGAAAACCAAACCCTTTTACATTGTAAACCGGAAGAAAACTAACATTCTTTGCTTAAACAAGTCATGTTTGCATGGTGTATGGCGAAATAGGAAAATTAGGTTTGAATAATGTTTGACAAGCTGCTTGTGTAGTGTATTTCGCTCTTAATAAAACTTCTGAAAGCTTTTTGTTCAAAAATTTGCAGAGCGATTTAAAAATTATCTTATGTAAGACATGGTTGCTTTTGTTATCTGCAAATATATCTAGAAAAAATTCCTAAAAAAATACTCAAGCACACCCAAAATTCCTCACGTTTTGAGGAATTACTCACAAATTGACAACACTGACGCATATACAGTGGTGGAAGAAATAATAGAAACTTTTTACTTTGACCAGTTTTGGCTATATTACTTTGTTTATTCGATGTTTAATATTTTTGTATAAAAGTCTGGCGCAACGATAACACACACCAAATAAATCCACATTTCAAAGTTTGTACAAAAATTATAAAAATTCAACAAATTTTATCAAAATCCCCCAAATATTTAAAACTTTTCAATCAGATTTTTTTGAAAATGGAAATGCCTAGCAGCGTCAGCAAAAAAAAATATTAAAAATCAATGCGATTTTCTGGCGTCTTGCGGTTTGCACTTTTACCTCCTAAAATTTAATGGGCTATAAAACTGCATACCCAAAATTTTTCAGAAAAATCTGATTAAAAAGTTTGAAATTTTAGGGGGATTTTGTTAAAATTTTATGAATTTTTATAATTTTTGTACAAACTTTGAAATATGGATTTATATAGTGTATGTTATATATTGCGCTAGACCTTTATACAAAAACATTAAACATCGAATAAACAAAGTAATATAGCCAAAACTGGTCAAAGTAAAAAGTTTCTATTATTTCTTCCACCACTGTATATTTATTCATACATTCCATGTTAAGAAGCTCGCTGCGGACTTTATCTCTCACCTTGTCGGTGTTTAAAGAGTTCACAGTCATCGGCATTTACTTAAACGTTTTTGCTTGTTTTATAAATTGCTATGGATGTATGGATTTACATACATATGTACATATAATTATGCATGTACGAATGTACATATACGTAAATATTGTTATGCTTTTTAGTCATAAAGGCAGTAAAAGGGTTTTGGTAATTTTGAGACAACAATGAGACTGTGAATAAAAATACTAAAATTGTACAAGTGACACAACTCAAAATTTGGCATTTTTGAAATTATGCACGTAAAATGTCTGGAGTAAATTTTTGTTATAATTTGTTGAAAAACCCCAAGGTAAAGTCCCTCTTGCCCATATGATTAGCATGTAAAAAAAAGTTTGTTTTCAGATTTTCTGGTGAACATGTAATTTTGATTTGTGTCACTTTTGAACATCATGTACGATATGTACTTTTTAATTTCCTTAAAAATTTAATAAAATGTATGAGTATGACTAAAACCATTCAATCTTAATGTAATCGACTTTATGCTAAAATTTGTTATGAAAACTTCATGGAATTTTTAATACTTAACTCAAACATTTTTTGAATAGGTTATTTCTTCTTAGTTTCACGAAAGCAATTGAAGTGAAAAATGGTTTTCTACATACATACATGAATTGCTGGTGAAACCGGATTCATTCACATTTTAATGAAAATATCTCTGGGACTAAACTAAAAATGCCAGTAAAGTCTCTCATATTTTAACTTTATTAAAAAAAGCATTTACAAAATGTTATTCAAAAACATAAACGTTCACTTAAAAATAACTTAGCATAGATCAAAATTGATAGCGAAGGAAATTACGAACGAAACTCACTTTTAAAAGTCATCGAACATTTTATTAAAAATACAAACCTGTTGAAAAAGTTTAATGAACTTAATAATCACGCGGAACGGGTGTCAAATGAAAATAAATTTAA